ATTGTTATTGGAATTACATTAAATCTGTATAGTGCTTTTGATAATATGATCATTTTGACAATATTAATTCTGTCTATCCAAAAACAAGTTAGATCTTTTCATCTTCTAAGGTCTTCTTTAATTTCTTTCTTTAGTGTTCTGCAATTTTCATTGTAGAGGTCTTTCACCTCTTTTGTTGATACCAAATATTTTATTTTTTTGATGCTATTGTAAATGGGATAGTTTTCCTCGTTTCCCTCTCAGAGAATTTGTCACTGATATATAGAAGACAGAAAATAATTAAAAATCAGAGTTGAAATCAATGAAATTGAAAGAAAAGAAACAATTGAAAAAATTGATAAAACAAAAAGTTGGTTCTTTGAAAAAATAAATAAAATTAACAGACTCTTAGCCATGCTAATGAGAAGGATAGAAAAAACTCAAATTACTAAAATACATGATGAAAAAGGAAATATCACAACAGACACTACAGAAACACAGAAGATAATTAGAAATTATTTTGAAAACTTGTTCTCTGATAAAATAGAAAATATCAAAGTTATCAACAAATTTCTAGAGTTATATGATTTGCCCAAATTGAATCAGGATGATATACACAATTTAAATAGATCAATTTCAAGTGACATATAGAAGACACCATCAGAAGCCTACCAACCAAAAAAAGTCCAGGATTGGATGGATACACAGCCTAGTTCTACAAGACCATTAAAGAAGAATTAATACCAATACTCTTCAATTTATTTCAGGAAGTAGAAAAAGAGACAGCACTTCCAAACTCATTCTATGGGGACAATATCACCCTGATTCCAAAACCAGGCAAAGACACATCAAAAAAAGAAAACTTCAGACCAATATCTCTAAAGAAAATAGATGCAAAAATTCTCAATAAAATTCTGGCCAATCAAATACAAAAACATATCAAAAAGATAGTACACCATGATCAAGTAGGGTTCATTCCAGGGATGCAAGGTTGGTTCAATATATGGAAATCAATTAATGTAATTTATTACATCTTAAAGATTCGGTATTTGTTTTTTTGGGATTGGCTAACTTTATTTAGCATTATATTCTCCAACACCATCTGTTTACCTGAAATGCCATGATTTTATTCTTTTATTGCTGAGTAATATTCCATTGTGTATATGTTCCACATTTGTTTTTATCCATTCATTTACTGAAGGGCGTCTAAAATGGTTCCACAATTTAGCTATTGTGAATTGTGCTACTGTAAAATTGATGTGGCTGTGTCCCTGTAGTATGTTGTTTTTAAATTCTTTGGGTGTAGACTGAGAAGAGGGATAGCAGGGTCAAATGGTGTTTCCATTCCCAGTTTTCCAAGGATTCTCCATACTGCTTTCCATATTGGCTGCACCAATTTGTAGTCCCACCAGCAATGTATAAATGTACCTTTCCCCCCACATCCTCGCCAACATTCATTGTTGTTTGTCTTCATAATAGCTGCCATTCTGACTGGAGTGAGATGATATCTTACAGTAGTTTTGCTTTCATATCTCTAATTGCTGGAGATGATGAGCATTTTTTCATGTATTTGTTGATTGATTGTATTATCATCTTCTGAGAAGTGTCTGCTCAGGTCCTTAGCCCATTTATTGATTAGATGATGATGATGATGATGATGATGATGATGATGATGATGATTATTTGGTGTTAAGATTTTTTTTGAATTCTTTATATATTCTAGAGATTAGTGCTCTATCTGATGTGCTTATGGTAAGAATTTGTTCCCAATTAGTAGGCTTGCTATAGACCTCACTGATTGTTTCAGTCTGATTCATAGTGGGGTAGGGAGGAATAGACAAACCGTAGGTAGGGTAGAGGGGTGGGAGGGGAAGGGAGGGGGCAGGGGTTTAGAAATGATGGTGGAATGTGATGAACTTCATTATCCAAAGTACATGTAGAAAGACACGAAATGGTGTGACTATATATGAAAAAAATGAGATATGAAAAAATGTGCTCTATGTGTGTAATATGAATTGTAATGCATTCTGCTGTCATATATATATATATATATATATATATAAAATCAATAAAAAAATAAAAATCCCCAGGAAAGCTAAGGCAAGAGGATCACAAGTTCAAGGCCCAGCTGGGCCTATGTAATATATATAAATATACATGTATGTATACATTTATATGGTCTGTGGAAAATTCATAGAAGTCAGTAAAAACTATATATATATATATATATATATATATATAAATTTATATTTGTATAGATTCTGTTTGGAAGAAACCTAATACACAGGTATATGGAAAAAATAGACTTAAAGATAAGAACCATATGATTATCTCAATAGCTGCAGAAAAAGCATTCAACAAAAACACTAGAAAAACTAGGGATAAAAGGAACATATCTCAACATCAAAAAAGCTATTTGTGCTAAGCTCCAGGCCAACATCATTCTAAATGGAGAAAAATTGAAAGCATTCCCTCTAAAAACTGGAACAAGACAGGGATGCCCTCTTTTACCACCTCTACTTAACATATTTCTTGAAACACTGGCCAGAGCAATTAGACAGATGAAAGAAATTAAAAGGATATGGATAGGTAAAGAAGAACTCAAATTAGCACTATTTGCCGGTGATAGGATTCTATACCTAGAAGACCATCCGAGACCACCTCAGTGAGAGGGTAATATTTAAATAAAACATGAGGGAGTGAGTCAAAAAATTCCACCAGAGAACTTCTAGAACTAGTAAATGAATTCAGCAAAGTAGCAGGATACAAATCAACACCCCAAAATCAAAGGGATTAGTGCTGAGAGCCATAGCAGAGTCTGAATGACGCATGGCGTTTTTGCCAGTACGGAGTGGTTGAGAGGTGACAGTCAGCAGGCTGTTGGGATGATGATGGTTATGTTGAGCAGTGTATGTTAGACCCCTGCTGTCTACCTGGGCCTGCTGCTTTGGAGTTCTCCCTACTTTGGAGTTCTCGCAAGGATTCCCGGAGAGTTCCCACTGGTTGGGGAAGTGCTGGAGGAGGGATTTTCCGATTGGTATGTGGTTCCTGGAGGAGCTGCATGGAGTTCGGGAGAATTCCCGGGGAGCGTGTGTGGAGTGTGCTGGTGGAGTTCAGAAATAAAGTTTGTTCCTGCTTCAGTGGCTTGTGATTTGTGTCCAGCCAGACTGCAGCAGGTTAGTGCTCTTAAAGGAAGAGGAAGACTCAGATTTCTCTCTCTCTTTCTCTCTGAGCAAGTACCCTCTGAGGACACAATGAGAAAGCAGCTGTCTACAGACTAGGAAGGAGGCCCTCACTAGGAACCAAATCTGCAGGCACCTTGATCTTAGCTTCCCAACCTCCAGATCTGTGAACAACAAATGCCAGTTGTTTCAATCGCCCAGTTTGTTATTTTGTCTTAGCTGCCCAAGGTGACACATTATAATAGATTTTTCCCTTCCTACTTCAACTTGCTATTATCAGCTCATTTCATTCACTTAACAAACATATATTGAGTACGTAACATATGTCAGAATCTTTCTCAGCACTGGGGTTGCAGCATTGAAGAAAAGAATCCAAACCCCTCTCCTCCAGGAGCTGCTGTTCCAGTAGGGGAGAAGTCAGTTAAACAAGATCAGTAGGTATTGCTAAAATATATACCACAATAAATAGTGATAAGTGCTAAGGTTTAAAGTAAAGCAGGGAAAGAGGGATAGGAAGTAATAGGGATGGAATTTTGTGTCACATGGGGTCCATCCCAGACCACCTGGAGTGAGAGGGTAATATTTAAATAAAACATGAAGGAGTGAGTCATGCATATCCCTGTGGAAGAAGCCCTCTAGGCAGAAAGAAGGGCAAGTACAAAAGGTGATAGCACAGAGGTGGTAGCCTGTTCTGGAAACTCCAAGGAGACCAATGTGGCTGGAGCTGAGTGAGCCAGCAGGAGACTAGTTGGGGATAAGGTCTCATCCATTAGGCTTGGAAGGGCTTAGATGGCTTGAAACCTCAGACATCACTTACTTAAAAACTAAGCATCTGTTATGGTTTAGATATTAAGTGTCCCCCAAAAGCTCAAATGTGAGACAATGCACGAAGGTTTAGAAGATAAATGATGAGGACAGGAGAGCCTTAACCCATTCAGTGAATTAGTCCCCTTGATGGGATTAGCTGGGTGGCGAGTGAAGGTAGGTAGGGTGTGGTTGGAGGAGGAGGGTCATTGAGGGAGTGCCCTTGGGGTATGTATTTTGTACCTGGTGAGTGGAGTTTCTCTGCTTCCTGATTTTCATGTGGACTGCTTCCCTCTGCCACACTCTTCTGCCTCACCTCCAGCTCCAAGGAGTAGAACCTGCTGTTTGTGGACTGAGATGTTGGAAACTAGGAGTCCCAAATAAACTTTACTTCCCTAAAATTGTTCTTGTCAGATCTTTTAGTCATATGTCCCTATGAACCAATCATCTGCATAGTCTTGTGGGAAGTGCCCATTGTCTCAGAACAGCATGTCTGGGCTGTTGACTTGGGAGCAAAATCACATGTCCAGTGAGTGAACGTGGAGCAGCAGGTGAGCAGTAGTGAGAAGACAAGCAGAGGCAGACAGCAGGCGGGGAGGGAATCAATCACAAGGTAAAAGACTGAGATGTTGGCAGTAAGCAGGGTAAGGGGCCAACAACCTCTTAGCACCAGCAGTTTGTGATCAGTAGGATGTTTTGCTTAGACTAATGCTAATGTGTAGGAAAGTGGAAAAGAATTAAGGATAGAATAGAAAGTTTTTTGGGAAAATGTCCAAGTTGAACCCTCATGGAAAGAGAGACATTAACCTGGCAGATTGAGTGAGGAAGAATTTACATGCTTCTTACAGTGGAATGGTTTTTTAACCACGCAGGCAAGGGTAGCACAGAAAAAAGATGAACAAGGTGAGTTAAAGGGCTTCACATCCCTGTTGCCCTGGTTTGCAGAGATATTGCCTTATGATAATGCCATTGTGATGAGAACAAGGCCTGCTGGTGGAGTGGAGTCCTTAGAAGTAGGGCCACACGTAGTCTTGCCAGTCCCTGCTTGAGGGAAGGTCTGTTGAAAAGTTTGAAAAGGATTTCTACAATCAGTGAAAAGGTAATTATTTGACTTAATATGAAAAGACTTACTTGGTCCTGAGTGGCAGGAGCTTCCCTTTCATACAGCTGGCATTTCCCTTCTGCTACCCACCTGGATTGAAGTCACCCTAGGAAGTCATTAACATAGCAACGTACTCATGTGCTAGCGTGATCTGCTCTGATCATGCTGCTTGGAAGGAACCCAGAATCCTGGACTATAAAAGGTGCATCTGTACTCTCCTGGCAGCTAGGATTGCTTTCCAGGCTGTGATGGTTTGGACCTGGATACAGAGAGCTACAGGACACAGGAAGACACTGTAGTATTAGGACTGGTTTGGGTCAAACAAATGTATGATAGAATATGGATGATGAAAAGTGCAAAGCATCCCTCTTTCTTTAATCAAATTCACTCTGTACCTTGCGTCCTTCTGTGCCATTTGGGTAGAATGCTGAGGCTGTGTCAAGTCAACAGAATGGAGTCATTTCTACCATGAGCAACCAGTGAAGGGTGGTGGTCTGTGTGCTATGTATCTGCCATCTCTGCACTGTTATCGTTCTTTTTAAATAATAGTGGTTTAAATGTTTTTATAAATATTTCTTCATAGCAGGATATATTTCAATTTGAGATCGGTGAAATTCTATGCCCCCCCCCAAAAAAAGGCCTGAAGATCCCAAGGCCAGAAAGTACATATATTAGCAATTTAGACTTTGTAAGTATATAGCAAGAAACTTGCCTTGCATTAGGTACACTGAGGCTTCTTTGTTGAGAGGGCCCAATTTTGGTTTTCTGGTGAATCTGGATGCAAAGATAAAATGTTTGGTTCTGGGACATCATGTGTTCTCTATCCCAGAAGAAGTTCAAGTTGAATAGTCTCTTGAAAGGAAGGAAGTACAGAAGAGATTCCAGCAGTATTTGAATTTCAAATTCATTTAAATGTCTAATTCAATGGTCTCTTTAAAATGGAAGCCTTCTGCTTGATTTTTCTTAAATTCTCAACTTATTTTAGAATGTTCTTGATTTTTTAAAGGCCACGATCATTTAGACATTCATTATGAATGGTCCTTACTTTTAGTGATTCAATAGAGCCTGAATTAGTAAAAAAGTGATTTAACTTCGGAAAAAACCTTATAATATTAAGCAGGTTACAGAAGTTTATGGAAGAAATAAGAAATATGATAAAGAACATTTCTATATTTAACAAGAAATGCAAACTTTAAGTGTTTTATTAACCTTGGAAATGGGAGACCTTTGGTATTGTATCAGTTTCTGTTCCCCCTGTTCTTTATTAATGCTGTATATTCAGTAAAGGATAAAAATGTTTATTGGTGATAGTGGTAATTACTCATAAAACTGTGGAGACTTATTAAATACTTTTCATATGTTACATAAGGCATATTGCTATTTTTGCAGGAAAAGTCTAGTTTTATTGCAATTTCCTTTGAGTTAAAGCTCTGGCAGCTTTTAATTCAAGTAAAAGCTTTGCTTCTGTGGTTGCCTCTATTTCTGCAAAGCGTTGACCTAAACACTTTCTCTTGTGATTTTCTCACACACACACACACAAAAAAAAAACAACTATCATTTGTTGAGGATTTACTGTGTTTCTTGGCATGGCACTTAACATGTTATATCTTTTATTTCTTCAGTTATTAGATATATTCTCTGCCATTAGTCTTCATGAAAACTCTGCAATGATTTTTCAGCCATCCCCATTTCACCGACATAGAAATGGAGACACTTGGGATTTAAGTAACTTACTCAAGGTCACATAGCTGTTAGTGTTAAAGCTGGTACTTGAATTCAGATTTGGCTTTGATGAGTTCTGTATTTGTACCCTTAAACAAGTTGTTTTAACTGTGTGGGCCTGTTTCTTCATTTGAAGAAATGAGACATTTATAATATTAGATTATCATATCATAAAGTTTCAAGAAGGCTAGATTTCAAGGGTTTATTATGTACAGATGAGAACCATGTGAGAACTCTAAATGACAGCCATTATTATCCCCATTGGCAGAGGCTAGTTAACTTCCCATTGTCCCATCAATTAATTAATATGAGACTATTCTCTCCCAGAACTGGCTTATTCAAAAAGTTTCTTATGCACTAATCTCTGAAAAGTCTCTTTATTTAATAACCATCATCTCAAATGAAATGTCTCTGTCCAGTTACTAAGAATCTTTGTATTCCAGCTTAGATTAGAGTCAATTTAGAACTCTCCTTCCCAACTTCAAACAAAATCTCTGCTGAAAGGAGTACTCATGGGAATGATGGAAAGCTATAGTGCACCCCTCTACCATTGCATCTGGCTGGACCACCAGAGAGTTACACCTCTAACTTTTGCCTGTTTATCCTGTTGTAGGATCATCTTCCTAGTATTGTTGTGTATTTTTACCTTCAGATTCTATGGAAGGTTTTCAAAGAATCTCCTGAAATTTATCACTGCATGTGTTATAAAAATTCTTCTGAGAACTCTGTCCTCCCAAACACCTGGTGTTCTATAAAGTGTTATTTTAGGGTGAGTTTTCTGGGAAAGGCTTTACTTGTTTTATGAAACTAGTAAGTTTCCCTCTTTCTATTTTGAAGAATTTGGTAAGTGCTTGTCTCGAGTTTTTCATTAAGGAAGCTCAGATTCAAATTTGAAGTAGCACTACAGTAATTGTTTTGAAATATTAGGCCATAAGTGGTATTGTAATAGGCTGCTGGAGGATGATGATGTTTGAAACCGTGAAGACAGTACAACTTAGTTAAAGTTTTCCTTAATGTGGACTTTTATTTTTAAATAATTGTAGATTAATAGAGTAGTTCCTGAATCACATGACCTACATAGTAAGACACAGTATGGCAATTCACCTTGCTATATTGGGTAGCACTTCAGACTATTGTATGTGTGTAGTGGTTTCTACTACTTCATGATATAATAATTTATACTATTTTCATTATGTAATTTCTATATAATCACACTATGAATTAAGTTGCACTCCTACACTGCTAAGCTCACATGGTGTGTGGCTCACACCACTACACTTTGTATTAGCTCACATTGTGTATATATTCCTAACCTGTATAATAGTTCACATTGCATGTAGTTGATACTACTGTACTATTTATTTACTCACACTGTGTAATTCACACTATACTGTTTGTTAGCTCACACCATGGGTGGTTTACACTCTTGCCTTGTGAGATAGCTCACGCCTTTCACATTCCTACACTGTATGGTAGTTCACATAGAACATATTTCAGTAGTAGTGAGCTTAGTACTGTTTTATATATATATATATATATATATATATATATATATATATATTATATTATATAGGTGAGAGCTTCAAAAACAGAAGTTGCTCTTTAAAAATGGATTTTAAGAAAACAGAGCCTTTCCAAGTTCATACTTAGGGGACAGAATAGTTATATTTAGCATTGTGTATCTGCCAAGTCTATAAGTCAGGAATTCAAGCTACAAACAGCTTCATGCATGCTGGAGAGAGCTCTGGTGTGGGAGCATCTAGTTTTATTGGGCCTAGGAGAGGATGTTATTTAGGCTTGAAGAATAGGGAGGAAACTTCTATTCATGGATTTGTGATAATCCACACAGATAATGAGACTTATCCCAAAGCCCTTGGAGTTGCATCCCAATGTGTGGTCTGAGATGGGCTCTAGAATGTTAACTATGTAAACTGTAGCCAAGGATATTGTTTCTTTCATAAACAAACAGTAGCTTACTCCACAAAGGATGTGGATTTTGTTAATAAATGGATAAAATTTGGGATAGGAAATCAAATAGCAAGTATATGCAAAGTGGTTAACAAATTAACTTTAAACATATGCTGCAAATCTATTTATGGGCCTTATGTGGTAGGAGAAGCACATTCTAAAGTGCCCTAAAAGTCCCCAAGGGGATGCCCAAGGAACAGAAGTTGATATTGAACTCTGGACTTGTGAGGATAGGAGCTCGATAGCACAGATTTCTTTCTTTTTATTTTTTTAATTAATATTTTTTAGTTGTAAATGGACACAATACCTTTTTTTCTTTGTTTATTTATTTTTTTTATGTGGTGCTGGGGATCAAACCCAGTGCCTCATGCATGCTAGGCAAGTGCTCTACCACTGAGCCACAACCCCAGCCCTGATAATACAGATGTATGAGACCTCCCTGAGCAAACAAGTACAGAGTCTGGTTTATCATAGACTTAGTGACCAAACCCAGTGGGTTAAAAAAATAAAAACACAGGGAAAATGGGGAGGGGACTCTTTTTCCCTCCCCTGGACTCCAAGAGGAAGACCTGAATTTTCCCTAAAAATTCTTGGCTTCAATCTTTGCCCTCTTTTGCCCCTACAGGAAGTGGGTGATGTGTCTGGTTGGTGTTTAAGGACCATGGGGGCAGGTCACGTTGGGGCCCTCTTTCCTGTCCACATCTGTGCACTACAATGACCCTGGTGAGTACATCTCTTCTGCAGCTCCATGTTCCCCCAGGAAAGCTGTAACAGGGCAGCCCACTTGCTACACACCTAACCCCTAGACCCAGGCTAGTTTTGTATATCCATCTTCATAAATCTTTGTATCTCTCAACAACTCAGAACTCAGTGAAAAGATGGCTATAATGTATTAGCTTTCTAAAGCCACAATGCTTCATGTCACTGTAGTTTTAATTTCGACTTGTGCATGTCTTGCATTTGATTAATATCTGTCTTCCTGATTAGTGAGTACAGAAGAGGGGGAAGGTAGGCACATATCTGTTTTTGATTCACGTTTTATTCCCAGTGCCTGGCCCAATGTGCTAAAGTCACATGTACAACTAGTCAAAGGAAATGAGTGAGTCTCTTGAGCCCTAACATTCTCTTTCGATATGGCTATTTTCCTTTTGTAGGGTCCTCTTGTTGAGGTCTATAAAGCTCACTTAGAATCATTCCCTGGACCAATATTTTAACTCCTGCAAAGCCACCCACACATCACAGTGCCAGTGTCTCAGCTGAGGCAGCTCTGTGCAACTACATCCGAAGAAAAAGTCCTGTTCCAAGGAAAAGTCCTGTATTTTCCCACTCTCCACCCTGGCTCCTTGCTTTTGGCTTTGGGATTGTGATTTTTTTTTCCTTCTCATCATATTCCTCAGAAGTCCTTATCCTCATGAAACTCAGCACAGATCTATAAAAAGGTCCTTGTCCCAGGGAGATTGTGTTTTTATTCCAATTTGTACTCCTGGATTTGCTTCTTGACCAAAACTCTTAGCATGCCTTCTTCAATACATCTATATGCATTCTCCATTGCAGATGCCCCAGAAGAAGTCCCAGGGTCTGAGATTGGATTGCAGGGTCATGAAATCCAACCTGGCTGACTTCCTTCTTCCCCTACCAGTAGCTACCTTGAAGACTCAGGAGAAGCTGGAGCTCAATTGGGCACAGCTAAGTGCATTCATTTAGCTTCATGGCAGTGGTTGTGGGAAATAGGGGGAGAAGAGGCTTATAAATGGGGGGGGGGAGAGTGGTTTTGCTTGTCTTCAGAGAGCATTTTCTTTTAAATTTTGAAAGAGCATAAGAACACATTTTCTCTTGCCCCTTCTCTGGGGTTTTCTAGGCTTTACTGTTTATTTTGACACTGTTTTCTTCAAGGTTTATCTCTGAGCCCTTCCTGAGCTCCTTCCCTGCTATTTGGAAGGAGATAGGCAAAGTCCAGCACAAAGGAAACAAACAGAAGTGATGGGCTGCAAAAGGCCTGCTGGTTTGGGCCACCTGCTGGAAGGCCTCAAGGCAGAGCCAGGAGACCCTTCTTTTGAATCAGAGCCACGTGCCTACAATCCAAATCAAAGGTGCTTATAAAAAGAATTCCCACTTTTGGGTCTGTTTTTTTTTCCCCCCTCCCAGATCCAGGTCCTGCTGTCTTCCTGCTGTCACCAGCGAAGGACCTCCAGGTTTATTCCTGCTTTGAATGGCAAAAGCTTTAAATTGTAGCATCTTTTCTTGCTCAGCTTGCCGAAGCCAGCTCTGCATGTAGCTCCTCAATGGGGCTGGGAGCTATTTCCTACAGTTTTACCTTCCTGTTTCACATTCTTTTTTTTTTTTAAAGAAAATGCGATCTTTTTCTCCTCCACTATGAAAGAGATGCCTCCTGTAGGAAACCACTATAGAAATAGGCAGACGGAGAAGCATTTCACCCCCGAGCCACTCCACCCAAAGACAAACATCATAAGGATTGTTGACATTTTCTTCTGGGCTTTTGTTCTACCATTTTTAGAGTTGGAGGACTCCCAGCCCATGTCTATTATTTTCTTACTCATTAGATATTGAAGAATCCCAAGTGGGATTTTATTTTTGGATAAGAATATATTAAGGGAGAGAGAAAACTTAACAAGAGAAAAATGCTGGACGTAGAAGAGGCTTAAACTCAAGCAACATCTGTATAATAGAATTTCATCTTTTGAACTCCCAGAGTGGTGCTCAGTTATAGTGTTTCACATTTAGACTCATCTATTAATTAGGGAGAGAAGTGATGAGTCAGCAACCACCTGGTGACAACTCATCCCTCTGAGAGAAATAATTTTTCATTGCCTTCAGCTTTACTGTCTGACTACTCTGGTGCCCAGGATGCTGGAAACAATCCACAGGATATGACTGAGAGAAGTGTTGAGATGGCTGTGATGTCACTGGCAATATAATTTTATGGGACCACCACTGTATATGCATTCTGTCATTGACTGCAACATGGTTATGTGGCACATGACTGCACTTCTAGATATTTCTCTAAGGAAGCCAGTGGATTCAGAGATGTACAAAATGGAAAATCATGCCCCTCTTGGTAGGTGCGTGTGGGGACATGGCTTAGAGAGCTGCTACAGTCCAGCTCCTGTTCTGCTCACCTTCTAGCACCTCTGGGCAGGGCAAGTTGGCATAGCCATATATGGTGGCTATGGTGAGAATGGGATATCAGAAAACTTGAGTCTAGTTTCACCTTGGCTGCAGTGTGTTTGCTTTTGACCAGTCCCTCTCTCTTTGTGGTTGTATAACAAGTGGCACAATGGTTTCTAAGAGGCCTTCTGAGTCACATGTTCCAGGTACCCAGCAAAATTACACTCACAGATGTTGCAGACATACATCTCACATATCACCCAAGATCTTACAGACCTGACTGCCAGGAGGGTAGACATAGCCATCAACGGCATCTTGACCTTGTTTTTCAGTGGACATGAGTGACCTTGAGCATGTTATTTAACTTCTAAACCTCCCATTACTCCTTTGTTCAATAGTAACAGTCACCTTTAGAATTATTATAAGGAGGCACTGAAAAATATTTTGAATTCTACAAATATTTATTAAGCACTCATGATATGCCAGGCTCAGTTCCATCTTTGGACAAGCAGTGAGCAAGAAGAATAAGGCATCTTGTCTTGGGAAGCTGCCAGGAAAGGAGGATGGGAAATTAAAAAAAAAAAATCAGTGTTACTGAGCAGATCATCAAAATCATGTACTAGAAAGTGTCTAGGTAGCCATTTTGGTCAGTAAAGGTCTATCTGAGGAGTTAACATTCAGGCTGAGATGGGAACGACAAGGAAAAGCTAACCACGTGACACTCCAGGAAGGGCATAGAAAGAAGAGAGAATGGAAATGCTAAGTCCTAAGAAGGATGGTGATGAGCTTGGCGTGTTGAAGGGCCTGTAGTGGAACCAGTGTGGATGGAGTGTGGCTGGGGAGGAGACGGAAGGTTCCAGAAGAAGGTGAAGGAAGGCACTTGGGTCACAGAGGGTTGTGATAAGCCAGGATAGCCATTTGGACAAGAAAGAGACGTCACACTCCTTACCCCAAGGAACTCTTGAGTGAAAGGGCTTGTGTGTGAAGATGGGGCAAAAAAGAAGGTTCTGGAGATAGTGGTTCCCTCCTAACCCTGAAGGAGGAAGGAGAAGCTTCCATTCAGGTGCTGTAATGGGCCGGTTTCCATGGTGGAGAGGCCTGCCTACGTCAAAGAGAAACCCTGGGGAGAAATGGGCTCTGAGGAGACTTCAGAGGATTCGCAATCAGGGGCTGAAAGTGGGAAAGCAACTAGAGATAGCCATTAGGTTCACAAAGGAAGCCTTAAAATAGATTCAGTTAGAGATGCAAATGCAGTTCAGAGCAGGTCTCAGGATGCCTTGAAGCTTAAAAGACTCCTTTGGGAGGAAACGGGGGAGGTAGGAGATGGAGGCAGAGCAGATGGCTTGATGAACGTGAGCCCAACCCTGCAGGCGCCTCAAAGGAAGGGAGTCTTAATTAAGGGAAAAAAAGCCCCAAATAACAAACCTGCTCGCGTCCCATTATTAAGAGTATTATTCTTTCATTTATGAGTTGCTCACAGATCCATCCTGGCTCATACAGGGCTGAGGAGGAAAGAACCATGCTTCTCTTATTTACAAAGTCCCCTTGAGCTGCCCACACATCATTTCCCAGGACTTCAAGGAGGGCTAATGTTCCAGACAAGAAGTAATTACAGCTCTTGGTTTCCAACCATCCGAGTGGCAGCTCACATGGTTAATTGGCTCTGCTGTCTTGGTCGGTTTTCCTGGGGCATTCGCCATCATTCTGCTTCTCCTATATCTTGGGGAATTTTCACAGTCCAGCGAGCTCTGTGCATTTAGTTTCCCTCTGAGGGTAGGTCTATCATCAGGCAACAATTGATTTCCAAGTCTCTGCAGCTACCTTGCCTGGTTGTCCACAGAGTGAAAGGGAGCTGGCTGTTCATTAGCATCTGTGACATTTTCATTAGCATTAATGAGGATCATCTGAAAAACTCAGACCCGGAGTGAGTAGATTATTCTGTGCCATAGGAAGTGATTGGGGAAATTTTCCCTGGCTCATTTAAGCCCTAGTGAGGAGCAAAAGAACATTTAGTACGTCCCAAGATGAGAGTAGTATTGCTTTAAAAGACGATTCTCTGGGAAGTTTAGGAAATAATATTTTCAAGACACTTTGTAATGGAGGATTTCAAACACACACAGAAGAAGCAGCTCAGTGCTTGGCCTCAATAATTGTTAGCCTTTTGCCAATTTTTCTTCATCCGTTTCCTCCATTTCTTTATGCACTCTTCAGAATTAATATCATCTCATGCTTAAAATTTTCAGGGTTCTAATATAGACTGTGCCATTGTTGCTGGTTGCAGCTGAGGGAAGCCAACTCAGATGGGAAGTGGCAGACAGAAAGGTTATTGGGAGAGGCTGTAGGATCATATCAGAGGCTGCAGGAAGGGAGGAAAGGAAGGAAGCAAGATTGGGTAGAGGGAGAGGTTGGGCTGCCTGGCAAGTCCCGTAAAGGGTCAGCTGAATCCTTGATGCAGAGCTACAAATCTAAGCACTTCTTACTTGTCTAGAGTCTGAGGGAGGAGGCTGGGCCTTCATATGTCTGTAATACTTCATATCTAGTGGGATGTCCCTGGGAAGTAGAGATAACAACCTTGGATGTGTGTTCCAGGAACGAGAAGTATCTCTCTTCATCTAAAAGCAAAATGAGAGTAATTTCTAAAGAGGCCCATTGCAAGGAAGTGACTGTTAGCTAGCCGTACTCCCAACACTGGAGGGACGGACTCTTCATTTCTAAAAGGGGGTCAAGGTGGCTCATGACAGCATCCACTATAGACATTATCACATCTGACGAAATTAACAATAACTTTCAATACGATCTCCATATTATCTGAAGAAGGTCCACACATGGCAGAGTTATGTTAAATTAAGTTAAAAGGTTCTTTTACTGCAGTTGTAGTCTAACTTTTAAATATGGAAATGAGTATTGTGATTCTCTGTGAGAGGTCTTTAAATGTGCAACATTTAAAAAATTTATTTGACCACTGTGTTCTTGGTTCTGTTTTTATTTCTATTTCTATTTTGGGATCTACACGGAGAAACAATGCCTCGGAGAGTTTCACAAACAGGGAGATGTGGCAGTGTTTATTTATTTTATTTTCCAGTGTTTGAGAATAGGTAAGGCTGAGATTCTCTTTAATGGTGAAGAGTTGAAAGTCTGGAGAAGAACTGTAATAGAAGCAAATGCTATTTGATGAGCCAGTCCCTCCTGAGACAGGTAGGAATAACATGAACTTCTGAAGATATTTTGCTATTGGAACAAGACATGTACTAAAGATACTGTGCATTTTGTCACAAATCGACAGCTTCTTAATAGCGCTGTTTGTACTTGTGGTCATTTCCGCACAGTGTGGCGGGATATATAGAAACTGATGAAGGGTCTCTTTACAGAGTCTGCAGAGAGCTTGCCAGAAAGCCTCATCTGTAACTGCTACCCCAATCTTAGGAGATGCTTTTTGGAGAACTAGGGAATTGAAAACAAGTGGTGTCTGAGGTTTGCTGAAGTGTCCATAAATCAAGAGATTCAAGTTGTGCTTATGGTGTGGGGCCAGGAGTTGAACCCGATTAAAGAAGAGATACAGTTTGCTTCTCTAGCCATTTATACTGGAATGATGAGGGAAAAGAAGACACAATGAAGTAAAATAAGTATTCTGTATGCAATCCATTTTCCATTTTGTTTTACGGTTGGTTCTCTGTTGGACTCTTTTACAAACGTTACCTTGATTAATGTCTGTGTTCAAATGTTATCATTTCTGTATCTCATAAAGAACATTCTTAATGAAACAGCTGAAAAATTGGGAAACAATGATGTTTTGATGATAACTCTTCTAGACAGTGGTGCAGTGCTAAACTCACGGGGTCCAGAATAAGGAAAGAACAGAAGGTGAGGTGACAGGATGTCTGAAATGAGACACAAGATTCTCTTTGTTCAGAGACTTGAGGTATTTTTTGAGAGAAGAGACATTCTTGGAGGTGAATTTATGTAGGAGTAATAGGAGTTTATGATACTGAAGGACTGCTGATCTCTCCACCTCTTTGAAAGAACTTAGGTGCTTTGCAAACATCTGGGGTTGTAACACTGGTCCATTGTGAGACATGGAAGAGCGTGGAAGGACAGAGTGGGTCTCAAATTAGACATGACTGCTTTGAAATCCTAACTCTACTTACTAGCAGTGTATTTTCATGCAGAATTTCAGTTTCCAGATCCATAAATTGAATATAATAAGGCCCATCTTGTTGCTAGGTGCTTATGGCAGTTCAATGAGGTGTTGCTTATGAAATGCCCCGGATGAGCTGGATATCTGGCAGACACTGAGTAAGTACTAATTTTCTCTCCCGTAGCTACCTCATTAAATTACTGGCCTTTAGCACCAGAAATTGTTAGTATCAGAAGCACTGAACAGGTTTTTTTTGATAAAACCAGAATCCCAACCCACTCCTTGCCACTGACCCTTCCATTTCCTGGAATCCATGCAACATAGGGCTGCTGGAGGTCAGATGAGCATTCCACTGAATTATTTTATAAATTGGTAAATGAATCTCTGAAAGGTTCATTGTTAAGTGCCTTATGTCATTCCAAGTTCTCTCATTCAGTAATAGGTAATAATAATAGGAGCTACAATTTATTGGGCATTTACTATGTACTAGTTAAGAATTTGACAGGCATTAAGAACTTTATGAGGTAGGTCCTCTTTTTTATTCCTATCATAGTGAAGACACTTTTGAGTCTTGGGCTGAATACATTTTTCAAGATCATGGAGCTGGTAATGGAGCAGGCCTTAAAATCAGCAGTCTGTGACCCCAAAGTACAGGAGAGAAAGCCCTTGGGTGGCAAGAACCTTGAGCTCCTGGTTGTGATCTTCTGTTCCTAGTGGGCTAAGACTGCCTGGGTATGTAGAAGTGTATGGGGTAAAGAGATAGTTGGCTTTTGAAGGACCAGGCATTGAGCATAAAATAATTGGCCAAAAATCCAGCTGAGGTTGCTTTAGGAAGTAAGTGAAATTTATTGATTTTGATCTCTCTCTAACCTTATTACTGTTGGTCAGTCTTCTTCTTTCTCATATTGAAGATAATTGTCCAAACTGGACCTTCGTTTATCCTTAAGCTCATAGTCAGAGAGAAAGAAGGCATATTGCCTTCTGATCCATCACGTTCAGATCCTCAAATTAGCCATTGTGGGCAGAAGAATGGAGGACTCTCATTAGCTTGGCTAAAGTAATGTTTCCCTCTTCTCTGGGGTTGGGTAGAATGTCTTTGAAAAGACATGGAACGAGAGCCAGATGTGACATAAGTGGAAGAAAAGCTGTGCAGATGTTTTCCCCTTAATATTTAGCCATTTGAAAATGTGCTTAAGTTACTTCTCTTTAAACCCTGTCTCTTCATATAAATTGAGAATAATGATTTTTATTGTCATTTTGTTGAAAGGGACAAATGGAGTCATGGATTAGAAAAAAAAAGTCCTTTGAAAACTTTACAGAGCTGTAAAAACATTACTTCTTATTACTGTCTCTGAAAACCTACTGTTTCTCAAACTACCTTTGCTCTGACATGTGTGAAATGCAACCTTTGCATCCCAGGGATCACCAGCCATGCACTGTACTAGATTAATGAAAATACATATATTACCACTTGAATATATGTGCTCTAAATTCTTCAGTTGGAAGAGGAGAAAAATGAGAGCATTTAAAAAAAAAATCTGGGGAACAGTTATTTATGTCTTGCGTCTGCCAAATTCTCTACCAATGTACAGCTTCATTTCAAATTTACCTTAAAATGTTTCTGCTAAAAGGTAAAAGCTGGGTAACAAGCCTGCAGATAAAATAAACAGATGGTTTATGCAAAAGAAAAAAAAAAGCCGGAATCCAAAGTTCAGGAAGAGTGGGTGAAAACTGAGCTATGAGCAGTTTTAAGGTGAGAACTCTGCCTAAGGTCAGGGACCAAGGGGACAGAGCAGTGCTGCTCCCAATGATTAAAGCTTAAAATGATTTCTTATAAAGCTCTAGCTCATCAAAGTGGAGTTGGGGTGGTTGGCCTTCCAATCAAGAGGGAATCTTGAATTTCTGTAGCTTTCTACTTTCACTGAAGTATCCTGAACCTCATCTATGAGGAAACCATCTTGGGAGAATTTCTCAGGTGATGAATTATTTCCTCTGGTTTTATACCTTTGATGAACTCTCAAGTTCATTCTAGAAGTCCTGTGTGCCCTAACATTGTAAGTTGTACTCAGTCATTGCTTTATGGACACTTACAATTTGCCAGATTCCTTTAATATTAGCCAATAGAAAGACTGAAGAATTGAAGAAGAAAAGGAACCTACTGTGTGGCCCTAATTCCCACTTGGCCAGTGTTTATTCATGGGAGAAGTAATGAAGAACTAGGTTTGTCTCTAGGGGTCAGGGACAGAAGTTCAAATAGCAGGTTTTGCTTTCATGAAGCGTGCAGTTTCATGCGAGGGTGCCACTTAATAAAGAGAGTGTCATATAAGTGTTGGTTGCTATGATGAATCAAGCAGGCTAAGGGGACTGAGAGAGGTGCTTCGTGCTCTTTCAGGGAGAGTGGGTGAAAAAGAACTTTCTGAGCATTAATATTTGCCATAAGTCTTAAGGAAAGTGGGAGAAAAAGATTGGAGAATTCAAAGAAAGGACACTTCTGGGAGAGGAAATAGTGCACACCAAGGCGTGAGGTAGGCATGAACTTACCTGAGGAACCAGCAAAGAGGGCAGGATGGCTGGCGAGGACTAAGCTAGAAAAGGTGGAATGATAGATACGAAATAAGTTGAAAATCAAGCTGGAAGCTCTAATAAATGGGATTTTTAATAGACTTTGATAAAACTTTGCATTTGGTTGATATACAATGAAAATCCACTGGAGGATTTGGACAGAAGAATGTCATGGTATGACTTGCTTTAGAAAGATCAGTTCAGCTGTTCTTGGAAAACAGTGAAAAGCGAAGGTAGGACCAAGAGAACCGCAAATGACTATTGCAATAATTTAGGACATAAAAGATTGTGCTGGACATGTATGCCTGAACTGTATATTTGAGATATGTCATACACACCAGACCAAAGGATTTAATGCAGTTTTTCATCTGTAGAAAGCTAGTAAGCTAGTCACATGTGGGAATTTGAGAGGTGATAAGATAGGCGACATTTTATTATGAAAAATTTCAAACGTACCTGAAAATGACCGCTTCGTAGACCTAGTTCCCCATTAGGCAATTCTGCATTTATTGAATGATTAGTTAACTAAACTATGGGCTTTTTAAGAGCAAAGTCTCCACTGATTTGTGTGAGTGTGCACATGTACACACATGCATGTGTGTGGCTGCATGTGTGTGTGTGCTGGGAGTGGGTACATGTGAACACGGACGGCAAAGAACTCTGGAGAAGAACTCCGGCTAATGAATACAGCAGGAATAATGGAAACATCTCCGTTTCGTAACCTCTAATGACAATAGACCTAAGCAGCAGTCATCAGTGGCTGCCAAAACCATTAGATTGCTGGTTGCTGGAGAACGTTACAAGAGATGAGTCAGGCCAACAATACCTGCATCCAGTTGTATTCATCTTCTATTGCTGTTAACAAGTTTAGCAGGTTAAAATAACACATCCATCTGACAGCAACAGAAAACCAAACTAGGATGGATTTGATAAATAAGGGCTTACCTTTGTCTAGTTTCAAAGGTTCTGGAAAAAAGCTGATTGTTGATATTAGCTCAGTGGCTTGATGGCATTGGGCTAAGACTCAGCTGTTCTCTGTCCCTTTCATTACAGTCTATTGATGGCTTTTATAGCTCCAGCCATTGTTTTGATAACCCAGAAAAGAAGGAAGGAATTACCTTTCCCCTTGTGTTGGGAAAGCAAACACTTTTCCTGAAACCATCCTGTGTCTGTCTCCAACCCTCAGCCACCAAATCCAGTGGTCTCATTTTCAGTAAAAATTAGCTGGCTGTTTCTAGGTGTTTAAAGGTTGAGAATGTGAGGAACAGGAATTTTTTTAAATCAGTGTTTGGTGAATGGGCCCAAATCTGCCCATTGTCTGGTTTTTGTAAAGTTTTATGGGTACATAGTCACACCCATTCACTTCTTTATGTGAATATTTTCTGTTTTCTTTTGGTATTGGGGATTGAACCCAGAGGGTATTTAACCACTGAGCCACATCCCTAGCCCTTTTTATTTTTTATTTTGAGAACAGGGTCTTACTAAGTTACTTACAGCCTCACTAAGTTGCTGAGTCTGAGTTGAACTTGTGATCCTCTTGCCTCAACCTCCTAAGCTGCCGGGATTACAGGTGGGAGCCACTGCACCTGACTATGTGAATATTTCCTATAGCTCAACAACAAGATGAGTAGTTGAGCCAACAACCAAGTGACCTGCAAATCCTAAAGCATTAACCATCTAGTCCTTCACAAAAGAGATTTCTGACCCGGCTTAGATCAATTAGCAATCCTTAGACCTGTCCTGGACATACTGTTGCTCCAAACGCAGTTAGGTTTTATTGGCCAGGGAGAAAGTGAGAATGGATGTCACACAGGCAATTAAAAATGTCTAGCACAATGTGATGGGGACTGGGGTGCCAGGGGACAGAAGGACAAGGTAGAAAGTGAACTGACCTTTATAGGAGCAGCAGTTTCTCCATTGCAGTCACTCAGCATCCTGCCACATTTTCTTCCAATTGTGGCCTTTCTTCTTCTATATCATTCTCCTATCTCCATGTCTCCATCCGTTAGGTAACAAGTGGGATCTCTGAGGATTCCTCACCCTCTCTGAAGACTTTGCTTTCCGGAATGGCCCTACTTTCCCTCACATACACTTTAGAGTAAATTTAGGCAATGTATCCTTTTTAAGGAACACATATATTTTAAGTCTTCCTTTTACATTGGAAGAAAAAGTTTTCCCCATGAAGAATTATTTTAGGCTCCAGGGAACACATAGAAATCTTCCTTCCTCCCTCCTTCCTTCCTTCTTTCCTTTCTATTTGCCTCCCTCCTGCCTTCTCTTCCCTCTGTCCGCAGGTATTTATTGAGCATCTGTACATTCCATACTTTGTTCTAGGTGCTGAGGGTACAAAGGAGGAAAGGATGTCCCTGGCATCATAGAATTTATATTCTACTGGGAAAAACAGAGTGTAAGCAAATCAATACATAAACATGCAATGAAACATTAGTGATGAGTACATGGAATAAAATGGGAGGGGATGGGGCCTGGATTGTGACAAGGCTGCTATTTAGTGGCAGTGGCCAGGGACATTTCTCAGGAGATCCCAGTGGGGGAGCAGATTCCAGGCAGAGGGAGGTACTGCGGCAGAGCCCTGAGG